ACATATAAAATTCCTATAGGTGGACTGCCATGACATCTGTAATTTTTCAAACCGTTCAGAAAATAAACAAATGAATAAATGCACATGCGTACGGATACACACATACAGTACAGCAAAGCAAATAGGGCAAAATATTGACAACTGTTGAATCTATGTGATGAAAACAAAGGTGATCATTACAGTTTTCTCTCCTTTTCTAATGTTTAAACATTTTATTTACAATAGGTTGTAAAGGGTAGAATTCCTACAAAGCAATAGAACAAACAGGTTTAAGACTTGATAAGCACATTTCAAAAGAGGAAACCCAAAAAACCAAACAGAAAAAGATGGTGATCCTCATTAGTAACCAGAGAAATGCATATTAAAACTATTTTAAGAAACCACTTAATGCCCATCAGACTGACAAAGATTTAAAGTCTGACTATGCCAAATGTTTAAGAAGATGTGAGATTAATGGGTACTCACATAACCTGCTGGTGTGAGTATAAATTGATATATACACATGGGTGTGTGTACATACACACACACACATATATACAGAGAGAGGGGCATATTCCAACAACATACAGTGGTACAAATGAGTTACAGTTTACATAATCAGCAGTATCAATCTCAACCTAGCTTTAAGCAAAAGAATTAAGTCTGGAAGGAGTATGGTGCCATTCTGTTTACAAATAGTTCAGCATTAAGAACCAACAAATTTAATGTTTAGCAATACTTCACAGATGGAAACACTATAAAGAAAAACTTGAGAATGTTTATCACCAAAGAATAATGGTTACACCCTGAAAGAAAGGATAAGAGGCAGTCCAGAAGGGAGAGAGAATTCTCTAGGTTATCTGCCCATGTGGGGGTTTTTGTTTGGTTTGGTTTTTTTTTTTCCCCCTCAAATTACGGGGACACAAACATTTTGGTTACATGATTTGCTTTTATGCAGTTTGAGTGAAAGTTACACTTTTCTGTACATGGGGTAAATTTCACAAGAAACTCCATCCTCTTAAAAAGAGTATTTTCAACTATATATATATATATATACACACACATTTTATATACTTTTCTGTACATGAGGTATATTTCATAAGAACCTACATTCAGAAATCTCAGTAAGTTCTGAAAAAATGGTTCTCTACATAGAAAAAAGTTTTTAAATTGTTGAAAAGGCTTAAAAATTATTTTACCTAAACTATGCCTTGAATGCATTAGACAAATATGCTATTTTAAGAACTGCTATCATTGAATTGTTTTTGTAAAAAAAGAAAGCCTTTTTTATGGATAATAATCACCACCTAATTTATCTGTTTCGTATGGACAATGTCAGTGTATATGCTGCCAAAGCACATGCTTAACTGCTTTTCAAATACATGATATAAAATTTTTATAAATTATAGAGCTGTAGACATTCCCTCTCTTATGAAAAACATGCAAGACTTGCCACATATACCAAGGCAATAAAAGGCAACTATGTTACTAAAATACAAAACTATTATTATTTTATAGTTATTAACAATTATGTGCCAATAACAATACACATGAACATAAAACATTATTCTTCATATTCTATGCCCAATGAAAAATGAGAGGAGGGGCAGGAAAGAGATTTTAGATAAAAGATACAACCTCAGGGATTAGAATTAATCATCTTTTACTCTAATATCTAAAGTTTTAAAAATTGAAGATGAAGAGTTTCTAGATTTTTTTTAAGCAACTGTACATATTTATGGGGTACATGTGACATTTTAATACATGCATACAATGTGTTAATGGTCAAGTCACAGTAATTGGATACATATGCATCACCTCAAACATCTAGCATTTGTTTGAGAACATTCCAAATCTTCTCTTCCAACTATTTTGAAATAAACAATAAATTACTGATAACTATAGTCACTCTATTATGCTATCAAACACTAGAACAAATTCCTTCTATTTAACTGCATTTTGGCACCCATTAACCAACTCTTTTTCATTTCCCCCTCCACCATACCTTTCCCAGCCTCTTAACCACAATTCCAGTTCCATGAGATCAAATTTTTTAGCTCCTACGTGAGAATATGCAATATTTGCCAGTGTCTGGCTTATTTCACTTAACATAATGTCCTCCAGGCCCCATCCATGTTGTTACAAATTAACAGGATATCATTCTTTTTTATGGCTAAAAAATATTCCATTGTATTCCATATATATAATACTATAGCATGCAAATATTTTCTCCCATTCTGTAGGTTGTCTGTTCACTCTATTGATTCCTTCCTTGGCTGTGCAGAAGCTTTTTCATTTGATCAGGTCCCATTTATTTATTGTTGTTGTTGTTGTTGCTGTGATTGTCGTTGGGGTCGTCTTCATAAATTCTTTGCCTAAGCAATATCTGTAAGAGTTTTTCCAGCAGTTTCTTCTAGAATTCTTATAGTTTCATGTCTTAGGTTTAAGTCTGTTATCTATTGTGAATTAATTTTTGTGAGGGATGAGAGGTACAGATCCTTCTACATGTGGCCATCCAATTTTCCCAGCACCATTTATGGAATAGGGTCTCTTTTCCCCAGTGTATGTTTTTGTCTGTTTTGTCAAAGATCAGACAGTAAAATGAGGATGGTTTTTATCTGGGTTCTCTGTTGTGATACACTGGTCTATGTCTTTCTTCTTGTACCAGTACCATACTGGTTTGGTTACTATAGCCTTATATAGTAACAGTGTAAAAGTAATTCTATTGCCAGTATAGCTTGAAGTCTGGTAAAGTGATGCGCCTCCCAATTTGTTCTTTTTGCTTAAGGTTGCTTTGGCTATACGGGGTCTTCTCTGCCTCCATACAAACCATAGAATTATTTTTTCTAGATCTGCAAAAAATGATGTTGTTATTTTAATAGGGATTGCACTGACTCTGTAAATCACTTTTGGTATTACAGACATTTTAACAATGTTGATTCTGCCGATCCATGAGCATGATATGTTTTTCTATCTGTTTACATCCTCGGTTATTTCCTTACTGTTTTGTAGTTCTCCCCGTAGAGGTCTTGCACCTCCTTGGTTAAATATATTCCTAGGTATTTTATTTTCTTTGTTGCTATTGTGAAAAGTATTAAGTCTTTGATTTGATTCTCAGCTTGACTGTTGTTGGCATATAAGAATGGTGATTTCTGTACACTGATTTTGTAACCTGAGACTTCATTGAATTTACCAGTTTTAGGAGTCTCTTGGCAGAATCCTTGGGATTTTCTAGATATAAGATCAGATCATCAGCAAAAAGAAATAATTTGACCTCTTCTTTTCCCATTTGGACAGCCTTGATTTCCTTCTCTTGCCTGACTGCTCTGGATAAGACTTCCAGTATTATGTTGAATAGAAGTATATTTTCTTTATCCATTTACCTGTTCATGTATACTTAGGTTGATTTCATATCTTGGCTAAGGGATTAATAACCAGAATATAAAAAGAACTCAACTCAATAGAAAAAAATAATAATAATCTGATTAAAAACAGGCAAAGGATCTGAATAGACATTTCTCAAAAGAAGACATACAAATGGCCAACAGGTATATGAAAAAATGTTCGACATCACTAGTATCAGGGAAATGCAAATTGAAACCACAATGAGATACCATCTCATCCCAGTTAAAATGGCTTTCATCAAAAAGATTTAAAAAAATAACATGCTGGTGAGGATGTGGAGAAAGGGGAATTCTTATACACTGTTTTGGGGAATGTAAATTAGTATAACCATTATGAAAAATACTATAGAGGTTCCTCAAAAAACTAATAACAAAACCACCATATGATCCAGCAATCATACTGCTCAGTATATATCCAAAAGAAAGAAAATCAGTATACTGAAGGGATAACTGCACCCCATGTTTATCACAACACAATAGAATTACTTTTATACTATCAAACAGATCCCTAGAAAACTCCTTTTTCCCTTGAGTTCCTATATCTTGTTCTTTTGTGTTTATTTATCTGACATATTAATCTTAGCTCTCACAATAGGTGAGATCAGTTGTCTAACCAGGCACTTCACCTTCTTCATCTCTGTGCCTCCAAATGTGCCTAGTTTGAAGCCCTGAATGTTGAATCCAAACCTGTCTTTTGACAATAGGTGAAAATGACTTAATTCTCATATTATTGATAAAGCACAATTCACTTATTTTATCACATCTCATAATAACAAATGATTACGCATTGAAACAGAATAGAAAGTGTTCAAATTTCACTTCTGCATCACTAGGGGAAAACTTTGGACAGCTTTCTACACAGGGAACGTTATTATGTTACCATATAATGTAGGAAGTAATGGACTCGAAAGAAAGATGTTTATCCTGATATATCTTTTTCATTCCTTAAGGAATGTTTTTAGCCTATGGCTTTGCCTTGGGTGAAACAATGTCAAATGGTTTAAAGCAAACAGAAAATAGCAACCTTTCAGGTCAGTTACTAAATCCTTTACATAGTTACCCATAGGAACTACATATATATGAGGTGGTTGATTGGCCAGCTGGTTGGTTTCCAGCCATTAACAACAGCCTAAGAAATGTGACTGAACTGAACAATCACATCGCCTAATAAATACTACTTAATATTAAAATCAATGGATACTAGAAGCTTCCCTGTTTCTGAACCTCAAAATGGCAACCTGACAAGATAATCATGAGTGTCTCGGGCTCAAGGAAAATTCTCTGCATATACCTTGCTTACTAAATCCGTGTATCAGTAACTTAAAAAGGGGGGAGATAATTAAGAATATACTATTAAAAGCTGGTGATGTTGTTTATATGTGCCATCATCTTTTAAAAAGCAAGACATTTAAATATGTGAATGAGAAAGCTGGTTCATTTTTTACACTTGCTCCACTGTAGGTCACTTGCTCATGGTGGGCTGTCGGAATTATTTAAATTCAGGAGCAATACTTGGTTGACAAGCTCCCTGCACTGCTGCAGGCTACAATCCTCATACAGTGCCTGAAGGGTTATTACAATTGCGGGTGTCTACAGAGGACAACAAAGGAGCCTTACCCCTTCCCGAAGGCACCTCATTAGCACTGTGTATGCAGCCGAGGGAACAGCCCAGCATTCTCTAGGGTTCTTTTTTTTTTCTTCCTAGAATGAAGTGGGGAAAAAAGGCAGTGAAGCTAACAGCACAAAAGATATTAACCCATTCAAGAAAAAGTCATAGTTCCATATATATAAACTATTTAAAACTTCTGAATAGTCTACTTAAAGTATTCCTTACTACCTAACAATTATGACCAGATCAAGGGTCTTCTGCATTGTACGTACAAGGTGTTTCTTCTGATGCTCACTATATCGTGTATGATATTGATAATATCCTTTCATTAGAAGCTAGATAAAAAGAACTGAGACAAAATGACCTGATTTATTTTTTTTTAAATTCTACTGAAAATTGTAGATGATAACATAGATACCCCTACCTAAAAAGTATTACATTGTCTGGAATGATTTCAGAGCACAAAAAACACAACTTTGAGTAGTATCTCAAGACTACCTACAAGCACAAGTGAAAGGCAATATGCTATCTAGTAAGACATTGTGCTAAATATTAATAAAAATGAGCAAATGAGATCACCAAGTACACTGATCTTAATGAATCAGTGACAATTCTCTCACAGAAGATTAACCAAATTGGTGTAATAACCACAAGAACACCCCTGCAACCTATCAAATAAAATCACAAAATAAATTAGTTGTCACACAGAAAGGTGAAAAATATTAATCTTTTTAAAGCAGGAAAAAATTAGGTTTTGCTTAGAGGAAATATTTAAGATTGTCCAAATGATAGAACTGGTACATTACGGATCCAAAAGTATTTTATGCCCATGATGAGAACTGTAACCCATTAAAACTGTACTCTCGCATAATCACACAATTGCACATACGGTCACACCCTGGCCTGGGTGTTACGATCAGGAGCTGCTCCAACTCAAAAATCAGTACCTGACAACTAAATTTAACTTCCAAACACAACTTTCTTCCCTTCCAGTTCACTTATTCAAAACACCCACCACAGCCTTTAATGTCACTGGGCTCTGTCCCCTTCTCCCCGGATCCCTCTCCTCTTGCCCAGCCTGTCACTCACTTCCCTTACCAACACTGAGAGTCCCTGGCCCACCATTTAATCGCTCCTCCCAAAAATTTGAACAGTTGTTTGTTTTCTCTAGCCCTGCACTCAGGCAATTGGGCCCTTACAGAAGGAGGCACCACAGAGCACAGAGTCCCTTACTAATTTACCATCCACAACCCCAGGAGACCCTCAACCTCACTCTCCAGGCCTCCTGTTTCTCCGATCAACTCCCTATCTAAGAGGCCTATTGCAAATCTTTGACCCTCCCACCCCCGCCCCTACCTGCCTCCTTCACAGAGATGATGGAAGTCCTGAGAAAGGAACAACAAACTCACCCACACCTGAAGCCATCTGCCACTTCTACCCAATGGTTTTAACAGGACAGGCTCCTCCACTCTGGCTCAGGATCTCACTCCCACCCCAACCTTATTCAGGGTCATTCCTTAGTCTTATCTCCACTGGATCTCTTACATTTCCCTTTGAATAGGGTTACTTTGAAAACAGGACAGACCTTTTTCAGCCCCTGTTCCCTTGTCAAAACCATCCTCACTTTACACTGACCTTTTCAGCTTCCTCCAGTCCTTCTAAATCCTCAAACCACTCCGAGCTGACAATTTCTGCCTCCCTACCTCCGCATAAAATAAATAAATATATAAAACTCTTGTTGAATTACTGGTGACTTTCAGGTCACTCAGTCCAGTAGACCCTTTTTTTTCATCCTTTTACTTGGACTTTAAGCTACAATTCAGCCCTGCTGACTTTCACTTTCTCCTCATTAGAAGCTGGATTTAAAAAGACAAAATAAGAACCTGGACTTGAGGTGATACGTATCCTTAACAAGAGTAAGAAGATACACAAGCTGAAAATATGTTGCCTCATCAATATCCTCTGCAGAATCTCAGGCTGGTCTTCTATCCCTAAGCTTGGAACCTTGGGGTATCACTGGAGAGCCAACAGGGCAGGATAGAGATACAGCCCAGCATTCCTAGGGTTCTTTTTTTTTCTTCCTAGAATGAAGTGGGAAAAAAGGCAGTGAAGCTAACAGCACAAAGATATTAACCCATTCAAGAAAAGTCATAGTTCCATATATAAACTATTTAAACTTCTGAATAGTCTACTTAAAGTATTCCTTACTACCTAACAATTATGACCAGATCAAGGGTCTTCTGCATTGTACGTACAAGGTGTTTCTTCTGATGCTCACTATATTCGTGTATGATATTGATATCCTTTCATTAGAAGCTAGATAAAAAGAACTGAGACAAAATGACCTGATTATTTTTTTAAATTCTACTGAAAATTGTAGATGATAACATAGATACCCCTACCTAAAAAGTATTACATTGTCTGGAATGATTTCAGAGCACAAAAACACAACTTTGAGTAGTATCTCAAGATTACCTACAAGCACAAGTGAAAGGCAATATGCTATCTAGTAAGACATTGTGCTAAATATTAATAAAAATGAGCAAAGACACCAAGTACACTGATCTTAATGAACCAGTGACAATTCTCTCACAGAAGATTACCAAATTGGTGTAATACCACAAGACACTCCTGCAACCTATCAAATAAAATCACAAAATAAATTAGGTGTCACACAGAAAGTGAAAAATTTAATCTTTTTAAAGCAGGAAAAAATTAGGTTTTGCTTAGAGGAAATATTTAAGATTGTCCAAATGACAGAAGTATTTTATGCCCATGATGAGAACTGCAACCCATTAAAACTGTACTCTCGCATAATCACACAATTGCACATACGGTCACACCCTGGCCTGGGTGTTACGATCAGGATGCTCCAACTCAAAAATCAGTACCTGACAACTAAATTTAACTTCCAACACAACTTTCTTCCTTCAGTTCATTATTCAAAACCCACCACAGCCTTTAATGTCACTGGGCTCTGTCCCCTCTCCCCGGATCCTCTCCTCTTGCCCAGCCTGGTCACCCACTCCTTACCAACACTGAGAGTCCCTGCCCACCATTTAATCACTCCTCCCAAAAATCTGAACAGTCGTTTGTTTCTCCTAGGCTGCACTCAGGCAATTGGCCCTTACAGAAGAGGCACCACAGAGCACAGAGTCCCTTACTATTTACCATCCACAACCCAGGAGACCCTCAACCTCCACTCTCCAGCCTCCTGTTTTTCCAATCAACTCCCTATCTAAGAGGCCTATTGCAAACTTTGACCTCCACCCCCCCACCTGCCTCCTTCACAGAGATGAAGGAGTCCTGACAAAGGAAAACAAACTCACCACACCTGAAGCCATCTGCCACTTCTACCCACTGCTTTAACAGGACAGGCTCTCCACCTGGCTCG